AATAGTTTCTTCCAAAGACTTCTGAGCCTTTTCCTTCCTACTTGAGTTAGCTTCAACCAACGTCAATGTTTCTAAGATTTTCATGCCTGATTCAGTAGCCTTTAACATATCAAGAAGCTCAGAAAGGGTAGTCTTCTTATCATCCTCAATGAAGTCATAGACAAATTGAGAGTAAGAACTGGCAAAGACTGTAATGTCAGGTCTATTGCTAAACCCTCATTAAGTCTACATCCCAAAACCTCAAGCTTGTTCATTTACTCGATCAACTAGAGTATATGATTGCCAATTTTGGTACCCTCTTTCATCTTGCATCTAAACAGTGACTAAGGCACCATATGCTTCTCATTTCTCTGGAGAGAATAAAGAATAGAAGCTAAGTCCATATTTTGTCACTACTATCGCAGTAATGGTGTCATTGATGCAAGCACAACGTAGCTTGTCATTTTTGCTTTTGCATTATGTGTATGCTTCATATATACGTACCTAGTTTGATGGATAGAACTATCAGTAGGCTCTGGTGACAAACATTATTACAATATTTATTATTATTATTATTATTATTATTATTATTTAATAAGGTCTTTTATTAAATAATCACTCCCACTATTTTCCTCAAGTCAATAGCCCTCATTATTAACTTGGGAAGGCCCATTGGCTTTCCTAGTGGATTGAGATCCCATCTAGCCCATTTCAAACCTTCACTTTGGCGAACAAGCCAAAATGGGTTGATTAGGTAGGCCAACAGACTTAATCTACATTAGTTGATAGCTCCCATTACCAACCTCAAATGCGAAGTGAGCCAACAAACCAATCACACAATACAATGATAGAAGCCTTTGTCCTCTAGTGTGATTCTTAGTATCAGTAGATTGGACACACGTACACACAACAAGTGTACTTCTCTACTATGCCTATGACGAGCTTATCAACCTTTGTTTTGGCGAACAAGCAAAACTCATCATTTTAAGTCGATCCATCACCATTAAAGAAAACTCCAATGATATTTCTATTGCATGCTATTGCATGCAATCTGTGAAGCAGCAGCATACGTTTGCTTGCTGCCGTTGCTGCTTCTTGTTGCTGCCGTGCACGATAGCACACAGTAGCAACATGCCACCCTACATAGTAGCATCCTCCTATGATCAAAATCAAGTTTTATTTGATTTTGGTCCCCCAAAAACAAATGCAAAAACCAGAATCGCAACACATCAACCACAGTAGATTTTTACAACCAAAAATTCAGTTTTACGTAACATGCAATAACATAATCGATACATATCGAATTCATCAAATCCAAACATTATAAAATAACATAAACAACATAAATTTGGCTCTGATACCAATGTAAGTTGTTGGTGAGGTTTACGTAGTGGAAAACAAAAATAAAATCCCCAACAACAACATTGAACCTAAGAGCCTTATGCCCGATTTGCGTTATTTACATATGAAATGATATTGAATATAAAATTTCCAGATTTCATACCAGCGTTTGGAGGCTCCTCTAATCGATACGAAATGCTATCACTCTAAGATAAGAGTGAACTCTTGGTATCCATACGAAGACAGGATGTCGATTACCAAGCGGTTCGATGTGCTAGCCAAACCCGCAAGGATCAAGGATGGAAATGTAGCAGAATTTTTCTTTGAAAAATTCTCTTTTCCACTTAGAGAGAAAATGTGAGAGAATGAGGTGAGTGGCTAGGATTTTAATTAATGTGTTCTAATGTTTTATTTTAATTTTAAGTTGCCTTTTATACGCAACAAAAATTAAAACCACCCTAATCTAGTTAGGAATAAATTTATTCCATGACTAAAATAGTAAATCCCCATTACCAAACAAGGTAATAATCCACTTGGCATCTTATTCAAATTCAAATATGAATTTCATATTCATATATTATCTTCATTAATATCATAAAATATTAATATTGAATAATATATTTAAATTCAAATATGAATTTCATATTTCATATATATATTATCTTCACTAATATTAATATCATCAAATGTTAATATTAAATAATATATATAATATTTAAATATATGAACATAATCTCACTAATTTTAATTTCAATATGAATTTAAATATAGGCAACGACCTCAATAAATTTAATTGCATTGTGAGATTACCAAAATGCCTTTTAATCTCAAAAGACGAAAATATCATTTCCATCATAAATGACGAAAATACCCTTTCATCACAAATGACGAAAATACCATTTCTCACCAATTCATCCTTAATCTATATTCTATGTGTGTGACCTGAAGGCTCCCCATCATATCGACAGTGAGTAGTCTCGCGGTTAACACCAATCAATCGTCTCACTAAACATAGACCAAGATTGGCCTCTAGCAAGGTATCATGGCCACCTGATAGATTTGGATTCAATGAAACAACTTGCCTATCAACAATATGGTTATTGTGCAATCCGATCATTTCATCATACATTATCTCATCAAGGTCGAGGTAAAAAAGTAGTGTCAACTTCAGATATCCTTGATCTCTCGATATTTGGTTATTGGACCAACCACCAAAAAAGATTGGATTGAGCTACAACTCAATCCCACTTTGGCCACATATTCTATGTCGTTGCCATTTACCGAATTACTCAGTGAGATAATTTCTCCTGTACCCGAGAGTGATGAATCCTTTGTCGATCCACCATAGTCTTGATACAGTCTTTGATGTAGCCAATCACTACTGTATTGATAGCTCTAAATATAATTATGTTGGTCTAGTGTCAAACTACACCAATTGGTGCACAAGGCGCTACGGTGATCTCAAGTCTGAATATCACATGCACCACCATTCGTTAAATGATTTATTCTATAGACACTGAGGTTACTATCCATATGGAATCTTCTAGTGGGTCTATCTAGTGAACTTGCCTCCAGCAAACACCCATGCGTTGCACCAGGTTTTTAGCAAACAACCTTGATAAGTGAGATCAGTCACTGTCTTTCGATAGGGTCGTTCAACACTATGCTAGCCCTACCGTATTATCTGTATCTTTAGTCAGAATACTACTAGGGCTACGATATTTCTAGAACGGCCACCTTATGTGATCATAGGGGTCTCACCATCAAGATTTGAAATGCTTGATACCCTCGTCATGATTCTACTATCCTAAGGACATATATCAATACATACAATTATGATTTACATGATATAGTAGAAATTGCCTTTTATTGATTAATAAACATTATTACAAAAAGTTATTTCTATAATAATTGATTGCCTCTAGGACACCTTTTCTAACGCCGAACTTGTCATGTGATCCAAGAGTGGTAACATAACAAAGACAACTAAAAACTTAGAGGTGGTCAAAAGTTAGCTTTTTCTTGAATAATACCTCATAAGGACTCTTTCCATGAAGGACTTTGGTTGGCATGCGGTTGATTAGGTGTGTGGCTGGGATCACACATTCACCCCAAAAGGGAACGAGTACATGGGTTTTGTGTTTGGGAGCACGGGCTACTTCCAGTAGATGATGGTGTTTCTTTTGACAACCCAATTTTGTTATGTAGTATATGTGCAAGAGCTTTAATGCAGTATGCCAAGTGATAAAAAAAGAGATGAACAACTGTGATTAAAAAAATCTCTAGCATTGTCAGTTTTAGCCCTTTGGACGGAAGTATAAAATTGGGTGGTGACCATGGATAGAAAGTTTTTAATGTGGGTAAGTGATTGGGTTTTGGATTGCATGAGGAATGCCCACATACCTTGGGAAAAGTCATCAACAATGGTGGGACAAAAGGTTGGTTTGTAGTGGAGGTGCTATGTGGAAAGGTAATTCGGGCTTGCTTAGCTAATGGACATATAGGACATTGAGGTTGAGGGATATTTGCACTGTAACATAATCTTTGTTGAAGAGTAAAAGAAGTTTTATTAATCATTGTATTACAATTGGAAATTTTATTGGTTACAATACAAGTAGGAAAAATATTAGGAGATTCAGCAGGTGCCTAGTAGTATAGACCTTGATTGACTTTACCCAAGCCCATTAGTTTCCTAGTCGAAGGGTCTTGAAATTCACATGTGTTAGGACAAAATTTTATAGTGCAACTATTATCTTCACATATTTTGGATACTGAGATAAGGTTAAGATGGAATCCAAGGACACATGTCACATTCTTAAGGGATAAATTTGCAGATAATTGGACAGTCCCTAAATGAGTGGCTGGTGTTATGTTCCCGTTTGGCATACAAACGGAAGTGGATGAGGTAGTGGAAATAGTGGTAAAAAATTTTGGATTACAAATTATGTGATCACTAGCCTCTGGATCAATAATCCACATATCAATTGTAATTAAATTTAAGCAGTAAGAAATACCTGTGTATGATGCTATGGGTGCAGTCGGGATATTATTCAGCATTTGGAGCAACTAATTGTATTGATCCAAGTTGAGGGTAGGGGTTGGCTAATTTCCAGAAGGAAGAGAATCAACTTGGAAAGAAAAGGAATTACCATTTTTGTCCTTGGTGTTGGAATTAGGATGACCATGCAATTTCTAGCAATATTCTTGATCATGGTTTCTTCTCTTGCAATATTCACAATATAATCGCCCTCTATTGGATCTTGAATTTCTAGATCCGTTTGACATGTTTCCAAACCTGGTTGACCAAAAGTTTGACCTGTTTAACCAACCCTAAACCTGTTTGACCCATTGCGTGATGTGGCACGATTTGACCTATTAGATACGTTTAAAAATGCGATTAGCTTCAGGCCGTCAGATTTGGTGAGTGAATCTAGGCCCTTCATTTCTTCATATAAATTCAAACTCTTTCCACCCTTATTTTGCCCTAGTTGCCCAAACTGATCTCCATTCTCTTTCACTGCAAGTGCCATCGGGTCTGTTGATGGTCGATCATAGTTTAATTGGCATTGGATCTCATCTTGCACTGCCAGTTGAAAACTCCGATGGAGAGTGGGTGGTAGGGATGTGGCCAGAATTTGTGTCAAGAAAGCTAAAAAACTTGCGCTCAAACCGAGCAAAAAATGCGACAATCTGTCGCGATCTCGGATTCTTTGATACTGGTGGAGCATTTCCGGCGGCCCTTCAAAAGTCTCCTCAGCGGCGTCCAACTCATTCCAAACAGTAGAGAGCCGATTGAAATAGCTGGTGACCGAGTTATTTCCTTGTTTGAGTTTGTTGAGGCACGGTCGGTGAGTGAATGTTTTGACAAGATCCAGCTTCCCATACATCTCCTTGCTGTATGCCTAGATCTTGGCGGCCATTTCTGTCTATGGGAGCCCTGCCGCCACCTTTGTCGAAAGGTAGTTGTTGATCCATAATCGGATCAGCATATTGCACCAGCTCTAATGGCGTTGAAGATGAGGTTGCGGCGACAGTAGGAGGGACCTATCAAGAAAAGGGTCTTTATCTTTTGTGATGAGGGCTTGTTGGAAATCGCGAGACTAAGAGGCGTAGTTATCTGAACCGGTTAGGGTTTGTTTGATGAGGACTAATTCTAGTCCATCAGAGACCGATGAGAAGAGTATGTCACCTGGTTTAGGGCGACTATTGCCAGTGGTTGGTACGATGCGAAAGGGATACATGCAGGGATTCGTATTTGGATCCGAACCTGACTAAGGAAACGAATCTGGGTTGTAACTCGATATTCCAAATGAGGTTGGGTTAGGCCTTGAACTAGTAAAAGAATCTGGCTTATAACTCGACATTCCATATGGGTAAAGGGTTGGGTCAGGCTTGGTTTGAGTTGTGTGAGCTATGTGGGCTTGAGTTGTGTGGGTTGTAGCATGCCTAAATTGAGTGTTTGGGCTTCAGTTGTGTGGGCTATCTATGGTGATCGAGTTGTTTGTATTGGTTGGGCCATCTGGTTTTTTGTATTGGTTGAATTTTGGTTTGTGTTTGGGTTGATTTCCATTCTAGATTTCAAATGGAGTTTTCTGTTTGTTTTAAGGGACAAAGGGAGAGGTTGAGTTGATTGGCAAGTGGAAAGCTTTTAGCAATGCTTTGATACCATGTAAGGAATTGAGAAAGAGAGGCAAGAGAAGCAGTTCAAGACACTAATACTGCCAGAGAATGCCAAAGAGAAAAGCAAGCAAGAGAGAAAGAATATCTGTATATTTTCTGTATTATATTGTAAGCCTATATAGTGACTAATTTATACAATTTTTGTAAATGTAAACTAGGAAAATAATAAATACAAATTCCTGTAATTATTAAATCAATCACATGAATTAAGGTGATTCATTGAAGCCATAATCACTCCTTAATCTTGACAACAGAGATCAAGGGAAAGCAATAATAATAATGATGCAATCCACATTTGGTCAGTTTTGAAAATGAAGCTCGCTAAAATTTTCTCAAAATGCAAGCTTCACACAAACTTATTTTTGTCGGCCCCTCAAGAAGTCCATTACCATTTGTAATTTGCTTTAGCAACTTCAGCATGTCAGAATCGTTTCTGCCGTTACCATGTATCTTTAATGACTTGATTTCTGAAGGAAAGATCTTTTTAGGAAAATTCTAAGGGAAAGCTTTTGTTCCTTTTCATTTCGACATTTACTATGATCTACTTGATTTTTGTTCTTTCTATCATAAATTCTACAAGCATTATTTTCAATTAGTTGCACAAGACTTTTTTGTTTTTTTTTTTTTATCATAAATTCTACAAGCATCATCATCTTTATCTTTCAAAAAACTTACGCGATAAGTTTTTCTTAGTCAACAATTTTTCTACCATATGACTAAAACCCTTGCAATGAAAACATTCAGGATTTCCGCGAAATCAAAATTTTGAGGAAACGGTTTTTTTTCTTGCAAATCATAAGAGAAGACTTGGAATCTGAAACCATACCTCATCTTTCACCGATTCTTGGTGTTGAAAAGCCCACATTTGAACTAGTCTCTACAGCACCAACATTAGTGCCTAATAGCCTTGGGGCTATTTGTGGGAGTATTCGCGAGCACGGACTTATGATTCATATTGGGAAGGAAGCTCCTGACCTTATTTCAAACCATATTAAGAAGCGACTCATTGAGGTATTCCACCTTTTAGGTATCACAGATTGGAACTCAATCTTTTGGGCTGCACATCCTGGTGGGCCTGCAATTTTGGACCAAGTGGAGGCCAAGTTGGGTCTTAAACCTGAAAAGTTACATGCGACCAGGCACGTGCTTGCTGAGTATGGTAATATGTCAAGTGTAACTATATTGTTTGTTTTGGATGAAGTATGGAAGAAGTCAACTGAAGAGGGGTTGAAGACCATAGGAGACGGTTTGGAATGGGGAGTGCTTTTTGGATTTGGTCCTAAGGTACTTACGTATTGGACGTTGGTCTTCAGTGTTAACATTGCTTAGGGGATCCTCTTATTGATTTACTTTGCTTTCTTTTCCTTTTTTTTCTTTTTATGGTTATTCACAATAAAGTATGCAAAAATGTCTAAAAAATTATGATTTTAAATTGTAAATCATATTCTTTATCATAAATAAATATCAAAAAATTTATGAATGCTTTATTTTTTTTTTCCTAGAGCTTGAAAAGTTGAACATATTAAGATGATTCTACGTTACAAAAGTGTACGTGGTTATAATAAAGTACTGAGAATCATTGTCATAAACTTTTATAGGGTATCTAGCGGTATAATCGGACAGCCTTAACTTGGTTTGTCTTTCCAATCCAAGGTGTCTCTTGTAGGGCTGGAGAGCTTTTCAGTTGATTACTCTTGTTAGGGTGTCTAGCGGTAAAGTTGGAGATCTTTATACTTGATTGGTCGGTGTCTAGTTTTAAAGTTGAAGAACTTTTGTTCTTCGTTATAGTTGATTTTTAGTTATCAAAGATATAAAATCTCGTCACATATAGGGAAGATTTGGCACATTGCCCATCATATTTTACCTAATCTGTACAGGATCTAAAGACACATGACAGTTTCACCATCTAACGGCTAAAATTAATTAATTTAATTTTTTTGTTCTTTTTTGCTAGTGGTGAAGCCAAAATTTCAAGCAAGCGGGGAAGGAAATTCACTGGTGATATAATTTGAAATTTTAAACATATTAATAAATATTGAAATTTTAATTATTTTATTCAATAAAATAACAATTACCCTCAACAAAATTTGATGTTTTAAAGTGATGATTGTCAATATTGTTAAACACATTAAATAAAAGAAATCATATCAACATAATGAAAGTTATAAAGCTACTAATTTTATAAAAAGTAAACTAAATTAAACAAACCAATTAGAAGAGGATTTTTATACTAATAGGATATTTTCCCATATTAAAAACATAAAAATCAAGTTTGGGGAAAAATATTATCTTTTGATTGGCTAGTTCAGTGTTCAATCCATAGAGCTCCGCCACGTCCATCTGCCCACATTCTGCATATAGTTTTTATTTTTTCCCTTAATTTATTGGAATAGCATGAAGATATGCTGATTACCCACACAGCAGAAATGAAAATTTGCGGATTGTTTTGGGGAAACAGAGGAAGAAGCTGGAATTCATTGTATTCCAAAATTAGAACATCAAAACTTCTGAGAGAGGTATGATGGATCGTTTGATTTTATATATTGTAGTTTCAGCTACTGTTATGATTAACAAATAAAAGCATATATAATTCTTTCCAACAAAGTTGTAGTTTCATAGAACTTGACCATGGAAAACCCGCTAACATCCTCCTAATCAACACCAACATATTTACTTGATAATAGAGTTTTATGGTTCAACTGTTGGAAATTTATTGCACAAAAACTGTCAATGTGCAATAGATAGTTGTCCCTTGCTGAAAGAATTTGTGCTAAAACAATCTGAAACGTCTTAAATGTCTTCAATTTTTCGCTTAATCATCAAATCTATTTATATATATGCTAAGCACAGCAGTAGTTATAACAGATTCCAAGTGTCACGGGGTAGGAGTTTCATACCCAAAATGTCACGGGCTAGGAGTTTCATACCCAAAAGGCTAACCTATTAGGTGGAAAAACTCCCCCCATTTATAAGCTCAAAACCTCCCCAATACGCTTCCAATGTGGGATTTGTTACATTCTCCCCCACCCAATCCTGTGACACCCTCGTCACAGGTAGGGCCCCCTGCCTACCCATCCACCTCACTCTCGTGTGAACCCACAATCACGCGTGAACACCCCTGCGTGGACGTTTGACGGGACATCAAAAGACAGATTGGGTCTGCTCTGATACCACTTGTCACAGGCTAGGAGTTTCACACTCAAAAGGCTAACCTATTAAGTGGAGAGACTCCTCTTATTTATAAGCTCAAGACCTCCCCAATACGCTTCTAATGTGGGATTTGTTAGACAAGGCGTTCAATCAATTTCCAATCACCAATTTGCTTCTTATTTTTTAAATAAGATTCACTGAGCTAATATAGAGACAATCTTAACTTAAAGATTCCACATACACCAACCACCGAGCAAATATACGTGATGTTTTTGCTTTCTTCGTCTTCATCTCGTGGGGAATTCATAAACACAATAGTCTTAAATCTTATTTTGTACATTAAGCTATCACCATTATTACACCAGCACCCCTTTACTTTAAAGATAGGACAAATACATGCTACACTCATTGAGCCAACAATTCCTTCTCAAACAAACTAAGCCACGACTGGGTATGATGCACAAGTTGCAACACCTACAATCAAATAATCAACATCAACGTCAGCATAAAAGAACTAAAGGCTGGTTTTCAACAATTCCTCATCACATTTGTTAGCTTATCAACATAACTCAAAAATGTGACTCAGACGCTCGGTTTAATTATCTACATATTCATAGAACCATATCACTAAGACTTTTAGAAAGTAAATGAATTTAGTTTTCTGTAGTTGACATCATATTTTAGGTCATCTTGGCCACAAGTTAATTATCAATGATCTGATGATCAGTTGAAATATCGCGCATGGCTCAACTAGGATGAGATCATTGTTTTGACAAAGACAATTTGGGTAGTAGAAACTTACCACACATGTTTTTCCCCAACTCCATCTTAAAGTAGCCATTGTCACCCCAGCTTTGCCCCCAAGAGTTCTTAATCAGCCAAAATGGAACACCATCTTCAACCCCATACCCCACTGCAAGAACTGCATGGTTCACATCCTGCCATAGAAACTCAAAGTAAGTTAGAAAAGCAATAATGCATCACATTATAACTTCTATTTTCGGTGCAGAGGTGAGTGACATTCACGTAAAAGAAGTTATCGATATTAACTTTCATTTGATTCTTACATTTAAGACATTAAAAACAAACTAAAATCCCTTCCAGAAATTTGAAATTTTTAGCAATAAGCCAAAAATATAAAATCTCTTAAACATATTCTCTACCTAAATAAACCATCGTTCTCCAAACCAGTAAAACTCACCATGGGAGTAGAGCCGCATGTGTCGCTGGTGTAAACTCCACTCTTGTAAAATCGGAAACCATTTACCACCTGAAATGCCACACTCACTGGTCGAACTGAAGCAACTGCATGCTTTAATTCGTCTTCGGCACCCTGTATATATGTATATATATGAAATGAATCAGTAACCTTATATAAGTATCTCTAAAAAGAAAAACAAAAAAAACAAAAAAAAAACCATCCAGAACCCCAACTCTAGCTCAATTCATTCTTTTCCCAATACTGAGGCAGGTAATATATAAATCAACTATGAAACAATTATAAGCTATATAAAGACGTGAAGAACCAGGGGTCCACAAGCTTCTGGACCTGAAATGGACCCTGGTCGGTTTGTCTTAAACTGCAAGCCTATCAGAAAATCAGGCAGATTTGGATATGGTATTGAATACTCTACCAGGGTAATGTTGACAGAGTCCTCGACTTGGACACCAACATTTTCGGATGAGAATTTGCATTCACCATCTTTACCAGTGTATGGATATGCCGCCTCGGTATCAAGGCCACCGTTGTATTTGATGTATTCGAAGGCTTGCGACGGCAACCCACCACTGCAACCAAAGTTATTGAAAGCTTGGGCACAGTCCACAAGCTGTTGTTCTGACAAAGAAATTTGCTTTCCAAATGCCTGGTGGTAAGCTGCCTCAAGAGCTCCAGTTGTGCTGAAACACATAAAATATTGAATTGGAGGTCATTTACAGAATGATGCCATAATTGACAACGTGCTTAAATCAGTTCAATTTGAAATTACCTGAAGGTCCAGCAAGATCCACAGTGGCCTTGATCTTTCACTGGGCTTACTATGCCCACTTCTCTCCAGTCTTTCTACACATACAGAAATAGAGAACCGGAAAAGAAAAATAAAAATCGTAATCCAATGAATTCCAAACTAATCTCAATGAAGAAACCCGGTTTATTGAAAGGGTGAAGAATTTATAGTAGCTCCATTAAAGTACCGTTTCGGGAAGGGCATCATCTGTAAGCTTGTGATTGCCCTTTAGGGTAGCCGAGCAGTTTTGTGCAGCTCCCAACCTGTGTCTTTGGAATTCTTCCCATGTCCAATCAGCAAAGTCTGTATGTTCACATTTAATTAAAACTCAGCATATTAATACCAATTAGTAACTCCAATAAATATGCCCTCCTTCAATTATTTCAGCTAGTGAACATCCAATATAATTCATCTACCCTAACAAACACATGATTAACAACATGACAACGTGTGGACCAGTGATAGATCAACGGTCAGTGTGAGTAAGACGACAGAATGTTAGCTAAGAAGACAAACACACACGTGAAAATTAGATCACACATGTTATAAATGACCAATCAGGTGCCTATATTCCTCAAATCTGACGGCTCATATTATTCCAAAAGCCTGGGAATAGTATCGGCCCAGTATACTTACCACCATCACCACAATCTACATGAGCATATCACTGTTTGACCAAACATCTAACGACAGGTAATGGTCAAGTAGCGATGCCGGGCCAGTACCATAACTTAATCCTTAACAGAAAAGAAAAAACTTACGATTTACGCCGAGCTTGTACGAAAGGCCCTTTCTGTTAGTGGATCTGATTAAATCCAAGTTGTCGGAGAAAATCTGAAATCGGAGTTTCATCTCCTGAACAGTCTCGTATTTCTTCTCAAACCTAAACAAAACCATTTCTTTCAGAACAAATATCATAATTAAACGAATTTAAAACCACCTGAGGCAGCCACAGCACTAACCTGTGAGCAAAACGCGCGAAGGAGAGGGCGTGATGGCTGTGACCGATGACTTGGAGGATAGAAGCCTCCAAGTCAAAGAGGCCGTCGGACACCAATCTAATGGGATTGGAGTCATCGAAGCTGGATCCTGTGGCCACACAGGATAGTAACAAGATGAGGGAGGACACCAACGTTATACGAGCCATGTTTCTCACTGTCTGTCTGTGTGAGA